CCCCCCCCCGCCAGCTGCGGCACCTCTCGCCTGTGTCGTACCCGTGGGGGAGGCGGCACCAAAGGTCTTGGGCCCGTCGCGGAGATCGGCGAACGCTGCGGCTACGTCGGCCGCCTTGAAGGATTGCGCCTGTCGACGCCCATCGACAACGGTGGGTGGAAAAACGTCAGGCAAAAAAACTAGCAAGCGGGAGAGATGATACAAAAAAGTTGGTTTTGCTCGTATGAGGCGTTCGTTGGTAATACAGTACGAAAAACGACCGGTTGTACGATGCATGCACAACAATTTGTCCAGTCACAGTTGATGTGATAACTTTGGAAAGAAATCGAGTTAGACAGAAACTAAGCCATGCTATGGTAGTGACCCCACATCGAGGCTAACAAATAAGGTCCACAGAACAAATTGGACACTCCTCTAAGTTCAAGCAATTATGGAGCAAAAAAACTGGAAGACTGAAAGAAAACTTGAGTTTTGGACATGATTTGGAACATCTCGAGCTACAGAGTTTTTCTCGACCAAATAAAAAACTTCCTCTTTGTACTGTTGAGATGAATCGTTCCCACATGCCGCACTTTTCTTCGAAGTCGAACGAGTTTTGTGCGCCGATCGAAACCATGGACAACGATCTTCAATTTGGGCCACACTCGGTATATCTCGAGCGACAGAGTTTTTCCCGACCAAACCAAAAAAACGTGTTTTTGCTTTGTTGAGACGACTCGTTTGCCGCGCTTGACGTAATAAGCAAGGTTATTTACTCTGAGCGAAACGATGGAAGCTTACTCGCTTTTGGGACCTAGACGTCCAAGAAAACAAAATTGAACCGTCTCTGTAGAAAGATGCGCCCGTAGACGGCGCGTTTGTCATTACCTTTAGAGTCAGGATCTTACCATAGTGCTGGGGGGAGTAAAGGACATGTGTTGTGCATGGATCATAGGTGCCTTCAATAGTACGCGAACGTCCACGGCCTTCCCAGCCCATCCGCAAGTAAACAAAAAATACAAAGCCTTTCAGGCAGACAGAAGACGCTGGGTACTTGCACGACCAAACAATTGTAGTTTCGACACGACCACACCTCTCCAACACCCCCACTCGATTTCGAACCAACCGACCTTTCGGAATAGCGATCCGATCCCGGAGTCCTTGTCCTTTTCAGATGAGCCCCCTGCCGCCGCCGCCGCCGTCGCAGCCTCGCTACCAGCCCCGTCGGTATCCTTCTTGACCTCTTTCAAGCTACCGAACCTGCCAAGCGAGATGCGAAGCTTCGCCGCCAAGTCTGTGGCGGGCTCCCGATCCCCCTTCCCCGCCTCCTCCGGTTTATCCGCCGCAGCCTGAGCAGTAGTGTTAGAACTCCCTTCCGATCCCGCGGCCTCAGCACTAGCTCCTCCCTCGGGGTCGTTGCTTGTCGCGGCACCCTTCTTGAAGATTTCGCCCATGTTGATCTTCATCCCGCTAAACATGGTCCCCCCCCTGAACATGTTACTACTGCTACTGCCGGTGGTGGTGCCAGCGGCGGCCACAGGAGGAGCGGTGGCAGAGCTGTCGTGGCCGCTTCCCTCGCCGCCGCTGACCACATCGCCACCACTCCTGGCGCTAGCGCTGCTGTGGCTAGAGGACGAAGTCTTCTCCGTGCCCGGTGACTTAGTCGGGAAGAACGGCGACTCGCTCCCCTTCTTGCCGCTGCCCTTGCAGCTGTCGTCGGTGGAGGCGATAATGCCGTGGGTGGACGAATCGGCCGCCCCCATGCGCTCCCACAGCGGCGGGGAGAGCGGGAACTTCGACCCTACGGGAGCGCTGGCGCCGCCGGGCTTCTGGACAAGGCAGAGCCGGCAGGCGGCGGTGATGTGGTCGACGATGACGGCGGAGAGAGCGACGTCCCCTACCCCTTCGGCCCCGGCGGCCATCGTGTCCGTCACCAGCTCATGGGCGGCGGCATACCCCTGTTTGATCGATCGATCGATCCAGCGTGGTAGTTTAGAGAGAGGGAGGGAAAGAGTGTGTGGAAGAGAGAGAGAGAGAGAGAGAGAGAGAGAGAGAGAGAGAGAGAGAGAGAGAGAGAGAG